TCCTCTTCTCTCCCTCTCTGTTCCTCTTCCTCTCCCTCTCTGTCCTCTCTCTCCCTCTCTGTTCCCTCTCTCCTCTCTTTCCTCTCTCCCTCTCTGTTCCTCTCCTCTCTCCCTCTCTGTTCCTCTCTCTCTCCCTCTCTGTTCCCCTCTCCCTCTCTGTTCCTCTCTCTCTCTCCCTCTCTGTTCCCCTCTCCCTCTCTGTTCCTCTCTCTCTCTCTGTGCTAACTAAAAAGCCAAACACTAACATCATCAAATATACAGTTGAATCCAGATATTTACAAACTCTTCAGCTAAAAACACTTTTTTAATTGTAACATCAAATCAGACTAAATGTTTATTTTTTTTAGATTGATAAATATAAAAACATATTTGTTAACTTTAAGAGTAAAGAGAGAAACTATCTGTATTTCTTAATTGCAAATGGCACCAAATTGTATTCAAACTGAGCCACACTTATGGAGCTCCACAATTCTTTTCCTGGTGTTTTGGTTGACATCTCTTGATGTTCCCATGTCACAGAAACAGGCTCTGTGTTTTGCCTTATATGCATCCACAGCTGTGCCACCAGTTTACTCACATGGACTCTACAAACCAATCAGAAGCTTCTTCAGCTCAGAATGGAATCATCTGGAGTTTCTTATTAATTAACAATAAACTTAGTGTATATGTACTCCTAAATTTGATGAAAGTGATAAAAAAAATAGACAGCTCTCTCTCTCTTTATTCTGACATTTAACTAATTCAAAAGATATTTCAATATTTATTTATCTGAAACAAAAAAGTTTAGTCTAACTTGATTTTTAACAGTAAAATAAAAATGTTTTTGTTTTTTTCCCCAACAGTGTATATAAATATCTGGTTTCAACTGTGAATATACTGCTGTGTATTGAAATTCCTCTTGTTTTGCATAGAAATATATTGGACAACATACAAAGCATAATATACAAAATAACATTTACCTGAGTTTTTTCTTTGAAAGAAGCCCCTCATGTCCATTGTTGTGTACATCAGTGCATAACTGAAACCGATTGAAGGTGCTTTATTTAGCCGTGGAGGGTAACAACTGAAAATATTAAATTCAATTCATCCATCCATCCATCCATTTTCTTCTGCTTATCCGAGTCCAGTTCGCGGGGGCAGCAGCCCAAGCTGAGAAGCCCAGACCTCCCTCTCCCCAGCCACCTCCTCCAGCTTGTTCGGAGGAACACCAAGGCGTTCCCAGGCCAGCCGAGAGACATAATCTCTCCTGTGTGTCCTGGGTCTGCCCCGGGGTCTCCTCCCGGTGGGACATGCCCGGAAAACCTCACCCAGGAGGCACCCAGGAGGCATCCTTGTCAGATGCCCGAACCACCTCAACTGGCTCCTTTCGATGTGGAGGAACAGCAGCTCTACTCTGAGTCCCTCCCCCTCCTCCTCCATATAAATTATGAACAAAATCGGTGACAAAGGACAGCCCTGGTGGAGCCCATCACCCACCAGGAACAAGTCCGACTTATTGCCAGCTATACAGACCAAGTTCTTGCAACGGTTGTATAAGGACTGAATGGCCCGTAGCAATGAGCCAGACACCCCATACTCCCGGAGCACCTCCCACAGGAACCCCCGAGGGACACGGTTGAATGCCTTCTCCAAGTCCACAAAACATAAGTAGACTGGTTGGGCAAACTCCCATGTGCCCTCGAGTATCCTCGAGAGGATAAAGAGCTGATCCAGTGTTCTACGACCAGGATGAAAACCGCATTGTTCCTCATGTATCCGAGGTTCGACTAAATTCAATTCAATTTTATTTATATAGCACCAAATCAAAACGACAGTCGCCTCAAGGCGCTTTATATTGTACAGTAGATCCTACAATAATAGATACAGAGAAAAACCCAACAATCATATGACCCCCTATGAGCAAGCACTTTGACAACAGTGGGAAGGAAAAACTCCCTTTTAACAGGAAGAAACCTCCGGCAGAACCAGGCTCAGGGAGGGGCGGGGCCATCTGCTGCGACCGGTTGGGGTGAGAGAAGGAAGACAGGATAAAGACATGCTGTGGAAGAGAGACAGGTTAATAACAGATATGATTCAATGCAGAGAGGTCTGTTAACACATAGTGAGTGAGAAAGGTGACTGGAGAGGAAAAACTCAATGCATCATGGGAATCCCCGGCAGCCTACGTCTATTGCAGCATAACTAAGGAGGATTCAGGGTCACCTGGTCCAGCCCTAACTATATGCTTTAGCAAAAAGAAAAGTTTGAAGCCTAATCTTAAAGTAGAGATAGTGTCTGTCTCCTGAATCCAAACTGGAAGCTGGTTCCACAGAAGAGGGGCCTGAAAACTGAAGGCTCTGCCTCCCATTCTACTTTTAAATACTCTAGGAACAACAAGTAGGCCTGCAGAGCGAGAGCGAAGTGCTCTAATAGGGTGATATGGTACTACAAGTCATTAAGATAAGATGGGCCTGATTATTTAAGACCTTGTATGTGAGGAGCAGGATTTTGAATTCTGGATTTAACAGGAAGCCAATGAAGGGAAGCCAATACAGGAGAAATCTGCTCTCTCTTTCTAGTCCCTGTCAGGACTCTTGCTGCAGCATTTTGGATTAGCTGAAGGCTTTTCAGTGAGTTTTTTTGGACATCCTGACAATAATGAATTACAGTCGTCCAGCCTGGAAGTAATAAATGCATGAACTAGTTTTTCAGCGTCACTCTGAGACAGGATATTTCTAATTTTAGAGATGTTGCACAAATGGAAGAAAGCAGTCTTACATATTTGTTTAATATGTACGTTGAAGGACATGTCCTGGTCAAAAATGACTCCAAGGTTCCTCACAGTGTTACTGGAGGCCAAGGTAACGCCATCCAGAGTAAGAATCTGGTTAGACACCATATTTCTAAGATTTCAGGCCGAGTACAATAACCTCAGTTTGATCTGAATTAAGAAGCAGAAAGTTAGCGGCCATCCAGGTCTTTATGTCTTTAAGACATTCCTGCAGTTTAACTCATTGGTGTGTGTTATCTGGCTTCATGGACAGATAGAGCTGGGTGTCATCTGCATAGCAGTGTAAATGTATGCTATGTCTTCTAATGATGCTGCCTAAGGGAAGCTTGTATAATGTAAACAGAATTGGTCCTAGCACTGAACCCTGTGGAACTCCATAATTAACCTCAGTGTGTGAAGAGGACTCTCCATTTACATGCACAAACTGGAGTCTATTAGATAGATATGATACAAACCACTGCAGTGCAGTACCTGTAATACCTACAGCATGCTCTAATCACTCTAATAGGATATTATGGTCAACAGTATCGAATGCTACTGTCACGGTCAGTGATGGCAGACCGTGGAGTTGAGGAAAGTAGGGCCCAAACGCTAGACTCTTATAGTGAAGGACAGTGGATTTATTTATGGTGAGTGGACAAAAACAACAACTATGTACAAATCCAGCACTGTAGCTCCTGTGGTGATTCCTCTGTGAATCCATACCGTGCACGTGTGCATAAACAGTGAAAAAGTGACGACTCCAAAACCCAATTTCCCCTCGTGACGACGCTCCTCGCTCCCGACTCCTGGTGACACAAAACACACACAGCTCAGCAGGAAACCCACAGTAGCGATGTCGTTCACATAAACACTCATCAACGGAGGTACTTTACAAGTTTGCTATAGAATAATCCCGTGCTGACTGGAGCTCGGCCACCTTCTTAAATAGGACGCTCTTGATGAGGCAATCGGCTGCAGCTGGTGAAGGCTAACGAGCAGCAGGTGTGGCAGCTTCCAGTGCGGGAACACTTCCAGTTCGCAGTCCCCCTCAGCGACCCAAAACATCCGGGAGCACACAGGGAGAAGGAGGACAAAAAAGGAGAGAAAACCACCAAAAACACACATAATAACAATAATCATAGTCCACACTGCTCAAGGACACTGAGCAGCAGCGCCTTGAGAGCGGTGTATTTCCTTTGGCCAGGGGGATTCTGGAGGAGGGTCATTGGACAGCGGAGTCCAATGAGGCCAATGAGGCCACCACATGTTTTTCATGTCGTCAGATAAAATTCCACAAAGAGCAAACTGAGCTTCGACATGCACGAAAATTGAAGGAGGGTCGTGAAGCCAAAAGTCCTGTACTTTAACTACCAAAGCAAACGCAGGTGCAGGCAGAGGTGGGAGTCTGGCAGCCACAGATGCTTCTGGGAAAGGGCCGGTTTCCTCTTCGGGCCTCAGCATGTTCGTCTCAGGGGTCACCAATGTGGAGGTACGTAAGGATGACACAAGACCTCATCACGTTTTACTCCAACTTTAATTTCAGCTTCACACAACTGAACTCACAAGGCAGAAAACACCTCCTACAACCCAAAAACATTACCCCTCCCTCTTCCCTTCTCACTGGATGTGAGTGGAGTCCCCTGGTGGTCCCACACAAAGCAAACAAAAAAAACTCTCAGACGGAAGTTTTTAGGTCCTGTGACTTATGCAAGCACCACTACATAGTTCTTTCTGCAGTGGAGCTTGATCCAACTAAAAAATACAATATTTAACGTCCATGGCCACAAATTAGTTTGTGGCCAACAGTATTTTACAAACTGCAATCAGACTGTGTTGCAGGTATTTTTGCATTTTCATGTAAAAGTGAACAATGGTAAGAACTGGTCCATGAACCTGAATTAAAAACTTTCAATAAGTACCTCTGAGACTGTGCATCATATCCAAATCTGTAAAAACCTAAACTTTTGTCAGAAAGTAAAACTACAGGTGTTAACAGATGTATGTGAGATTGTTAGGTTGTTAAAAGTATACTGAAATATACTTTTAACAATCTAACAATCTCTCTCTAAAACCTACAGAGGTAACTGTGTACAAATAAATGACACCAGAACAAAACTGTTTTTATATTGCAGAAATTCTTCAAAAGTTAAGTTGCTGAAAGTGTTTTGTCACAGTGTGAATGGAGTAAGTTGAGGAACTGGATTTTTCTTCTACACGGCTTGGAAGGCCCTGGTTTGAGCTGGTTTGATCATAACAGCAGTGACTGGGTTTGGAGTGAGAGGTAGACATGGAAGTGGGTGCAAAAGATGTTCAGGGATCTTGGGAATCTTCTGATGGCATTCAGGTGGAGACTGTGGGAAAGCCTGGCAGTTCTCGTTAAGGGCAGCCACAGCAGGAACAAAGGCATGCTGACATTAGGTCCCAAGTTGTGCACCATGGACTGGGTGGAGGAGGTGCCCGAATGGGAACTGCCAGAGCGAGATGAGGAGAGGGAGTTGGGCTTCACTAGTTTGGCTTTGGGAGCTTCTGCATCCTCCCTGAAATGAGAACATAGCTGCATGATTTACTGGCAGGACGAAACTGAAATTGATCATGAAAGTTTAGCTTTAGTAAAGTAGAAAGTATACTTTTAGTAGAAAAGTACCAGTCAAAAGTTTTAAAACACCCCAATTTTTCCAGTTTTTTATTGAAAATTATGAAGTTTACTGTCACATTGCACTCTGTAATGAAGCATAGTACAAATAAGCAACTGGAGTCAAAAGAAAAAATTCATGGAATCAATTTGTAGACCAAAATGTGTTCTAAACCAGCGGTCCCCAACCTTTTTTGCGCCACGGACCAGTTTATGTCCAACAACATTTAAGGTGTTTATTTAAGGTGTCATGGATAAATTCACCAAAATAAAACCAGTACCGGTACCAAAAAAAGAAGATTATTCATAACACACGGAAAAGACCAGGAAACCAAGTTAATGATAAAAATGATTTAAAAAAGTTCATCTAAAACCAACTCGATGGGGTTTAAGTCTGGAGACTGTGCTGGACACTCCATGTTTTCAAGTTTTGGGTCATCATCTTGCTGTAGGATGAACTCCTGACTAGCTAGGTCCATACCAGAGGCTACTGCATGGAGCTGCAGAGTGCTGTGGTAGCTGTTTTGGTTCAGGGTGCCTCTCACTCTGTACGAGTCACCGACCCTGGATCCAGCAAAAAGCCCCAGACCATCACACTTCCTCCTCCGTGTTTTTTTTTTTTTTTTTTTTGTTTGGTTTTTTTTTTTTGGATAATTTAATTTTAAATTTTTAAAAATATAAAACAAAAACAAACTCCAAACAAACAATAACAAACAGGCTCAGATGTGTTACAGAAAAAACAATTAATTCAGACAAACATGCACTTCACAAAACACCACATTTGTATTATGGACATCATGTCTGTTACCCACAACTGAAAGAAAGGAGGAGTGGGGGACTTCCATTCCCTCAGGATTAACCTCTTGGCAGCAATCAAACCTAGTTCCAATAGCCGTTGCACTGTAACCAGGAGTAGCTCTGACGCTGGAGAACATCCAAAAATTACAAGCTCAAGTTCAGGTTGTAGAGGTTTCATACAACAACAACGTACCTTCTGCCAATCTACACCTGTCACACATGGGGAGATAGAAGGATAAATCTTATGCAGTCTGATCTTAGAGTAGTGTAATTGGTGGAGGATTTTAAATTGAATTAATTGGCGTCTACTCTTCAGGGAGCAAGAATGGATTTTAGACAGACACTTACTCCACATAGATTCAGACACCTTCATCCCCGATTCATTCTCCCAAGCCTGCCAAATCCCAGCAGTATGCACCATGATAGAATCACCAAATAACTGTACAATTTTTGTGATGTCTGGAATCAGGTTGGCTCTTGAGTATTTCGTAGATGCCATGTTCTGACGGTAGAGTTGCAAACTCTTTAAACTTGGATTGGACATATCGCCTGACCTGCAAATGCCTATAAAAATGTGAATGTGGCAGATTATATTTTCTTTTAGTTGGCTAAAAGGAGAGAATTTGTTATCAATATACATATCCTTAATAGACACTAAACCCTTTTCTCTCCAGCCGTGATAAATGTTATCTTGCCAAGGAGGCATAAAATCGTGATTAAAACATATTGGTGTCTGTATGGAAGTGTCTGGCAGTGCTAAAAAACTTATAACATGATTCAAGATTCTAATAGTTTGTTTTAATACAAAACCCAGACATTTATAAGAATCTAATTTTCCAAGCTTGGTGAATAACATAGGGAACACAGGGAAGAATTGTTGACTGATACGGCTTCCATTCTAATCCACAATAGGGAGTCGATGCCTGGTAATCCAGGAGTCCTGCTGCCAGAACACTAACGCTCTGATATTAGCAGCCCAGTAGTAGTTTTTAAAAATTGGCAGGCCAAGCCCTCCATCTCTCTTGGATTTCTGCAAATGCACTTTAGAGATTCTGGCCCTTTTGCCATTCCAAATATGGGACTGAATGATTGCGTCCAGATCTTTGAAAAAGGCCATTGTATGATAAATGGGAAGAGTTTGAAATCATCTTGATTGAATTGATGCGTCCAATCATTGACAAGGGCAGTGTTTTCCAATATTCAATGCTTTGCTTTAGCCCTGACACATACTCAGTATGGTCAGGCCAAGGTAGGGTAGAGGATTCTTAACTACTTTAAATGGATCTTGCAACATAAATTCTGATGAGCTATTGTTGGAAAGAGGCATAAACTCACTCTTTGAACAGTTGATGATAGTTTACCGAAAGGTGATCAAGCTGAGGAGCAAAGGAACTGATTGTTCAGCACATTGGTTCTGTGTAAATCAATTTCACCCAAGAAATGAAAGATTCACCAAATCCAAATCTGACTCAAACATGTAAGGCCACTTGACCTGATGTGCATACAGGGCCAAAACAGAGGCTCCCTTACAATTTTTATAGTCGGAATAAATTATATTGAGTAATCGCCTAATGTCAAAATAGGAAAGTCTACCAGGGATGAACCCCGTCTGGTAAGGATGAATAATGGATGCCAAATGTTTATTTAATCTAGTCGCCAAGATTTGTAATTTCTTACTACTAAAATTTTGAAGCGCTATCGGCCTAAAATTAGCAGGGTTAGTCCCATCTCTTCACTTTTTCAAACTGAGAGCAATATTGGTTTTCCACAAAGTTTTAGACAATTTCCTTCATTTTTGAGTTGCGCAGCATCCTAAGCACAAGTGGTGCAAGAATGTCACAAATGTCTTATAGAACTCTGAACCAAAACCGTCGGGTCCCACTGTTTGCCATTAGGGAATGAATTTATAGCCTGGACAACTTCCTGAAGAGTAAACTCAGAATCGAGATAATCCTGGTCAGAGCTCCTCAGTTTAGGTAGTGGGAGAGAGTTGAAGAAACCATTAAGATCGGATTGCAAGACATGCTTAAGAGAATATAAATCACTATAGACCTCACTGAAACAACAGTTTATATCAATAGGGTTAGTTAGCAGAGTTCCTGTTTTAGATTTGATGCCGCATATGTCTTGATCTGGTTGTAGGGACTCAAGCGCAGAGCGGTTAGATGTCTCCAAAATACAGTTTATTACGGCTCCAGTGCACAATATATACAGTGAAGGAATCCAAAACTCCAGGGAATCACAGGGTAGCTCTCTCACACTCACTCACGTCTTCTTGCCCACACTCACACACGTTCACACGGCAGGAGTCGCAGGTCCGGGGGGGGGAAGGTCTGAAGCAGAAGAGAAGGGAAGTCACAAACTAATCACAAATCACGAAGCACAAGTCCACAAGAGCTGTGAGAACACTAACGTCAGTAGTACAATCATCCAGCGACGAGAGGATCTGTGTTCCAGCCTCAAATAGTGCTCCCGGTAATGACAGGTGATTGTGTCAGGTGTGTGGCCAAGGCGGGAGCCCACAGTGAGCTCCGCCCAGGCAGAGAGGGAGAGAACCAAAACAGCAAATGTAGCCTTGTGGGGCTGGCCGGGCAGGCAAGGAGACCATGACAGCATATTGCTCTTGAACACCCTTAAGCTGTCGTGCAAGCAGCGTACCAGGTTTATCTCCAAACTCAAAAAGCTTTGTCGCAAATTCCAGAGTAAATTGCTGACTAGGCCACTCATAATGCCATTATATTCATATTTAATTTCAGTATCTCTTTATAATCCATAGACGATTTAGAGGTTTGATACATTCTTTCCAGGACAGGAAAGCTATTGATTTCCGACAGATGTTTCTCTCTTTCTCTTTTAAGAGCTGAAGTGTAAGAAATTATCGCACCCCTCAAAACAGTCTTCAGTGCTTCCCATAAAGTACAGGGTGGGCCATTTATATGGATACACCGTAATAAAATGGGAATGGTTGGTGATATTAAAGTCCTGTTTGTGGCACATTAGTATATGTGAGGGGCAAACTCATCAAGATGGGTGGTGACCATGGTGGCCATTTAGAAGTCGGCCATCGTGGATACAACTTTAGTTTTTTCAATAGGAAGAGGGCCATGTGACACATCAAACTTATTGGTAATGTCACAAGAAAAACAATGGTGTGCTAGTCACGTGGATGATCTATCTAAGAAGGGGTCAAGATAACAGTTAAGATCTCCAGCCACATTATATTAGAATCGTGTTATTAGTGATGGATTCCGCTCTTTTTAGAGAACCGGCTCTTTCAGCTCCCAACCGGCTCTTCAGGTTGTTTGTTGCTTAATTAATTTATTATTAACAAAATATAAAATTATGCACAAAAGGAATTACTAATGTAAAAAAAAAGTGGTTTATTTATATATGTTTATATATAAATATATACGGTGGCCCCTAGAGACAAAGCACGTACAAACTCCAAAACACATTTCTAGCGTTAACTGAATTCCAAAACAGAGCTACCTAGATCACTTAAATTACACAATTGAAAGCATATGTGTATTGTTTTGTATTTGTATACAAGCACTCAGATATATTCAAATAATTTAAATCTGGTCGTTGGTACTTCCTGGCTTGTAAATATACTCATATATTTATTCACTCCACATAAAATGTAATAAATAAATCATATTATACAAAAACCAACTATTCACATTTCAACTTTTATCTATTAAATTTTCAGCTTTTACCTTTAAACAAATTTAAAGTGAAACAACACAAAACACTGCAAACCACAACACAATTAAATATAAATTAAAATATGAAAACAAAAAAGATGCACATTCTCTGTCATATGGCCTGCATGAATAAACTTTCTGAATCCTTTATCATCCGTATCATCCGGCATTGTGATTCCTTTAAGTGAGGTTCACAATTTGCCCAGCAGCCTCGGTTGGTTTACTAGGATAGATGCATGTCATTTTGGGAGCAGCGGTGTGGCGGGTGATAGGCGCTGGGTATTGTTTTGTTTTGTGGCTTAGATGCGTGTATTCTATTGTATTCTATGCACTTACTTAACTAATATAATTATATATATATAACTATGACACATTACCAGATGATCTTACTGAACTATGTGCTTTCTGGAAAAGCTGATCAGCGCTAGTTTGTATGCAAACTGTGGATTGACAGTTAGCATACAGATAAAGAAACAAAATATTTTTAAAAAGTCAGAAATTAGCAACAACACAGTGCAGTCTGTTGATAGTCCACAGCGTGAGGCACAACACAAACTAAAAGCTCGCTCACCTTATTAGACAAAAGAGAGAAAAAAAAGAAAAAAGAAACATGCAATCACAGCTGATAGCAAGTTACTCCTTCTCTGTAGCACTATATGTAACGCTGGCGAGCCACCTCTGCTTGTTCTGGATCATTGAAAACCTCCGGAACATCCTCATCTTTCTAGTGCACACACAGCTTTGTTGGGTACCATAGCTGGAATTTAATTCCATCTTCTCTCAGGCTTGCATCACATTCCGGAAGAACAGTGCTAGCTCATTACTTCGCTGGTGTAGTCTGGAAGATCAGAACTTTATTCCCCTTGTACTCCATCGGTTGCATCCTGGCGAGGCATAGAATAAGCTCTTTCGTCTGAAAGTGATGTATTCGGGCGATGGTGGTATGCGGTTTCTGTCCGCTGCCAGCCTAGGCCATAGGGATCGATGAGCGTGGTCGACCTTAAGTGGATGTGGGAAGTGTTGCTCACCCAATAATTCGGGGATGAGGTTGGAAATAAACTCCTTCGGCCTCCCTATCTTCTGAGCGCTGTTTTATGCCAACAATTTTATATTAAGTCTCCGAGTACAGGCCTCCAAATCCAATAGTTTGGGTTGAATCTGATTTACAAGCTTTGCCAGGTCCTCGCATTTGGCTTCAAGCGTTCCATTCGCTATTCCCGGGGCGTTGACCGCTAATTTCCTGACCTTCCATGCGGTTCTGTAAGTCAGTCTGTACGGATAGCACCAACTGGAACTTGGCCTCAAAAGCATCAAACTGCTCATCAAGTTTTCCAGGATTGATTCAGATATTGTCTTACATATTCCTGGCATATCTTATACATTTCACTCTTGTCATCCGGAGTGACAACTTTAGGCTCAGCCAAAGCCCTGCTGGTGCAACTATCATTAGCATCAAGCTCGATGCTCGACCATTTGTCGATGGTCTTATTCTTGCCTAGGTTCGAGGCTTTCTTTGGCGGAGACATTTCAGATATGCTGGGCAACGATTAAGCCAAAGGTACAAGTCGATTATTTCAGCTCCTGAATGGTTTTATTGTGGTATCTTGCGCTTTGTGGAAACTGGGTGTTTCTGAGTGTCTTTGATGGTGAAGGAAACTGTACTCGCTGACACCTTGACTTTCTTTGCAGCTTCTCTGTAGACAGACCTACATTTATAAATGTTATGATGGTCTGTCTCTCTTCCATTGTTAATTGCCTTTTCTCACCATTTCTGTACAACACACTACTTTCTGCAGTACAGTACTGTTCAAGTGATGCTCACGAGGTACATCAGTGTGCTCCAACACTGCTTTTATGCAGACAGAGGGAGCTGGAAGTAATCCAGAGAAGTTGGATGACCTGTAGGAATTAGTAGCACCAGCTTTCACGACTGGATCAACCTCCATTGTTGGAGAACAGATTTAAATTGTTAAAACCATGTTGTGTTCCCTGAAAAAGGCCATTTTTCTGAAATGTACATTATTTTTAGTGTTGGGTAACCTTACCTTTTTTAACCTCTGGCAGTTCAACACTTACCTTTGTACCATTTCAAGCTGGATTCATTGGATTTGAACGACTTGAATTGCAATAAATAACTGGAAGGATTAGAGTGTTCTAAGTCTTCTGATCAGTAATGAATACTTTCAACTTTCTTGTTCTGTAACTGGTTAATTAATAGAAAAATTCCACAACAGTCTGAATTATTTCAATTCAAACTAATACAATCAGTTGTGTAAAAGTGAGAAAAAGTAACTGCTGTTATAACCAATACAGCCATAAATTGAAACTATCATTTTGGGATTCATCTATTTGAAGTTTTTATTTCATGCAGAAACATTGATGGATCAGAAAGGCAGTCCTACAGGTATACAGGTTATACATATATTTCAGTGATTCTGGTAATGAGATGGCTGAAACGATGAAATGAATGATTGTATAACATGCAGCAATTATATTAATATATTGAATAAAACTGTAAAAGTAAAGTTTTTTGTCATGGGTAGTTATCATGTGCAAAGAAATATTCTAGGCATTGTCTACCTGATTTCATTGGGCGTCTCCTCCTCTTCATTTTTTTCCATGTCCTTTTTGCAGAATACCAACCAGATGATGAGTAAGATAAGCAGAATGGCGAAGGACACACCAACCACTACACCTGCTACCACACCAATTCCCTTCACATCTACCAAAAATAACAAAAATATTGATGTAAGACACACTATTATGCTACAACCACCAATGCATCAAATTCACCATTGCTATTTTCAGTTGCATGCAAGTTTCAGTAAAATACTTGTCTCCCGTCTTTATCATTTTCAGAAACCTATATAACACACCCCAGTATTATCAAAGCTAAAGCCAGATAAAAAAAACCCCCAATTTATCCTTCAGCTATTATATATTATAGCTATAATATAAAATAATTGAACCTTGAAAATCAATACATTTTAAAATTGTTTTAAATAATGCTATTCCAGAAGTTCCAAGTTGTCGACTATAGTATTGTGCGAAAGTCTTGAGTCATCACTTTTTATTTATTGAAAAGTTGGAAATATGTTCAGTGATTTACTGAAGTATGTGCAAATATAAATGCAAATACTTATTCTAAGAGGTGGTTGTGGCTCAGGAGGAAGAGTGCATTGTCTACCAATTGGAAAGTTTGTAGTTTGTTAAAGGCCTGCCACCTCTTTTGTCTTCCACTTGTCCAGTTTCCCTCAAATTATTTTAAGACACACAGCACACCATATTGAGCTGTAACAGATTTTGGCTGTCTTTTTAAATCACCTTGTTGTTGTTTCAAGGTGTGTTTTGCACCAGGCTGCTAGTAACAAGGTGTCTAAGATTCCATTTAAAATGGGTTCTTTGATAAATTGTTTGGCTGGCACTGTTCTGTCACGGTCCCGTGTCTCTCTGGCTGGCTCACGCTGGCTACAGGTTTTGTTGTTGTTGTTCTTTTTTTTTCTCTCCTCTCTGCCTGGGTGGAGCTCGTTACGGGCTCTCGCTCTTGGCCCACGCACCTGTGTGATTGTGTCCACCTGCTGCTGCATAAAACACAAAGGCTCAAAAATATTAAACAGATATGCTCTCTTCCATTTGCACAATATCTAAACTTAGAAAAATCCAGTCTTAAAATGATGCTAAAAATCCTCTTCATCCAGTTAGATCTTCTAGACTGGATTACTTTAGTTCATTATTACAGGTTGTTCTAAAAACTGACTGAAAAGCCGTCACTTGATCTAAAATGCTGATGCTGCAGCAGGAGTACTGACAGCAACTAGAAAGAGAGAGCAGATTTCTCCTATATTGTCTGATGAGCTTGGAAAAGAACGAAACTGGACTTTTTAAAGTTCTTGAAGACACTTCACCTCTCATCTGAAAGCTTCTTCAGTTATAAAACCAAATGGTGGAAAGTCTCAGATATTTAAACCCTAGTGGGGTGGTCCATTAAGAAGGTCGTTGAACCACTATTGATGATGTGCCTTGTCACATGAGCCAAGATGTTAAAAAGCTGCAAGTCATTAACAGCAGAGTTCATCAGCAGAACAAACCTTCCTCACCCTATATCATGTGACCCATTGAGATCAACTGACGCAAGATGTAAGTAGGGCTTGAGGCACCTTGGGAAAGGGATCTCAAACTGCATTGTAGGTGGCAAGCAGTTGTGTGATAAGCCACCTCCTCTGTTGAAAGATGGCTGTTCACAGTGGACATAGAAGCCTCTTTCACTTCTCTGTCAAACTATCTGTCTTGTCTGTCTAAAATGTGAACACTGACATCCTTGAAAGAGTGATCTTTATCCTTTAGATCGGGTGTCCAAATCCAGGCCTCGAGGGACGGTGTCCTGCAGGTTTAGATCTCACCCTGGATCAACACTCCTGAATCAAATGATTAGTTCATTACCAGGCCTCAGGGAACTTCAAGACATGTTGAGGAGGTCATTTCAATCAGATCTCACAGGTATAGGAATGCTTGCACTATACAAGGCTTAAAGTACACTAGTAATGTTCCTTAGGAACTCAGTGCACTGGAAGACAATACTGGAGACCAGAGATGGGCAGTAACACATAATCCAATTACTTTTAATGTAAGGGATTGCTATTGCAAAAAGGTAATTAGATTACTGTTACTTTCCAACGTCCATGGCACCAACAGACACATGTGTAGATCAAGAATAGAAAACATGGGGCGCGGGATAGAGCAGCACCATGCAGCATTTAATGTTGGGAAATACTGACATTACTTTGAGTTTGACTCTTTAAAAGTGACTAAGTAACTAATTACTTTATTCAAGTAATTTGAACAACACTGCTGGAGACCAACTCCAGGCTACTGCACAAGCCACTGTCAAGCGTGTAATATATGTAGGACAAATATGTCCCACAGATGACAGTGCTGACTCAAAGTCAGAGGGAGGACTGGGAGAGTAGTTTATGTCCTGTGCCAGAACATTTCCCATGTGGCCACTGAGGGTTTTTATTATGTTCAAATCAAAAGAGCTGCATTGCTAGTGGTATGAGGAAAAGAATGGATTGGTACAGCAGATCCGGGAAAGTACTGACAAGCACTTAAGTTGTTCCAGGTTTCTCACAATATTCATATTCATAATGGATGAAATTCATTTTTACCTCAAATACCTACACACAATATCTCATGATGTTTCTGCCCATAGTTATTCCTCATTGTCTTCAGTTGTGTTTTGATCCCTGTCTGCTCCAGTCTGCATGCCAAATGTCCTTGGGCAAGATACTAACCCCATGTTGCTCTCCGAAGTAGGATTTAGATAGAAAGCATTTACATAGAAAGAGCATAGAAAAGCACTGTATAAGAATAAGTCCATTTGCATTACATTAAAGTTTGAGGGAGGCTTTGTCACACCAAAGCCCCAGCCAATCTAAATTTAAACCACTAATGCAAGGTGATAGGGTGAACCAATGCACCACCTTTCCACTCAGAATCAACAAAAAACACTATCATATATGGAGTCTAGTGTTAATTGATGGATCTGATCAATAATGAGTGTAGAAAGCCCCTTCAAGTGTGAGTTTACAATGCAATGTATTATTTGAACTATAGAGAAAAGACTGTCTTCCCATCCACTTCAACAAATTTCATCCACATTTTTGCTAAAAGAAAAATGATCAATGATTTAGGAAAATAACTGAGATTCCACTTAAGAAGCAGTGAACTTAAGGTTGAGAAGCACAGACAGACCACAAATTTTGAGAGATGTTGTGATCTGCAATTTAAAAGAATGTCACGTTCACCTACAGTTTCACTATAGCACTTCAGCAGTGTGTATGAAAATAATTTGCAGATGAGCTCTACAATGACATGAAGAGGGGATTTTATTTTGCAAATCAAAAGCAGCAATTGTTAACTTATTCAGTGTTCAAAAAAAGTTCTTCACTCACAGTGTATCTTGACTTCCACTGTGCAGCTCTCTTCTCCCACATCATTGCTGGCTGTGCATTTGTAGAGTCCGGCATCGTCCTTGGTCAAATTCCTCAGTGCCACAATCTCTGGGGTTTTGAAATCTGATGTACCAAGAATGACAAGACAGCATCTAAGAGTGCACTACTGTTTTATGGTGTTGTTTGAAAAAGAGTTGATTTCTATTGAAATAAATGTACCTAAAGATGAGTTAACATAAAGAAATAGCCATGGCCTTTGTACAAATCTTTGCTGTTTTTAAAAAGTAAATACTTTTGACAGATTCTTTATGCAAGCTAAATGTACTTGAAAAAGATAAAAGGAGAACAGAATAACTTAGATTAGTCAGAAGTCTTCATTTATTTAAGAGCTGAAACATGACTATGCAGTAAAACGAGTATGTAATCGGTTCTGTTTGTTTGTCTTTATGTTAGCATGCACAGCATCTAGTGTCCACAGTTTAGCATTTTTCAGATTTGGCATCATGGTAGAATTTTTTTGAAAATTGGTTGAAGGTCAGTAACACCAAATGTGAAAATCATTAAACAGTTTATATTACCTGCAATTTTTTATAGATCATCTTCAAATTCCAGAACAATACACTTGACCTTGGGGGACGTGAGTACCGAGGTTGGATAAACAGAGGTCAAAGTTGACCAGATCGAGGTATATATATTTTGGGCATGGAGAGAGCTGTACAACACACTTTTTATGTTTTCATTATGATGCCCTACCACATCACAATGATGTGTGTGTTTTGTTCTTTTTTGCTTCGTTTCAAGGTTTAAATTTTTGTTTTAAAAAGCCCTAGGTACATCTGACAGACTTACCTATCAGTGTCAGTGGAGGCAGCTTGTCTACATATTTGCCTTCGTCCAGTACTTTTTCCCATTTGTAATGGATAGGATCAGAGCCATCAGCGGACTTGCAGCTCATCTTAACATCACTGCCTTCCAAGAATTTGCCCTCCATCCAGCACTGTGGCTCAGATGGCTTCACTGTGGACATACAGTCAGACAGACACACAGACATTCTCAAATGCTGTTGAGTCATGTGGCAGGGTGTGGTTTGTGGCTCAGCTGCAGGGGAGGGGTGGAGCAGAGGGTTCAGGGTGCGGAATCAGCCTCAGGTGTGAGGCTGACTCAAACTTGAGCTCCATCATCTAGTCATGCCTCCTCGATAAAAGATGTGCTGGGACCTGAGGTGGGACCTAGGGCTACAAGCAGGGCAGATGAAAAGTTGTCCAGTTAAAAACAGTGCAAATAAAAACGTGTGCAACTGCAAACGCTGTTGGCGGGTACATCATTTCCACAGTGGTGCCAAAACCCAGCGCCTCCACTGGCAGAACCAAGACCGGCCCTGCCAGTGGAGGCGCTGGCCTGGATGGTGGGTGAGCTGGTGGGTATGCAGTAGGAGCAGGAGGTGGTGTTTAGCCACCAGCTGGAACAACTGCAGGACCAATCTGAGCACTGGATGGGGCTTTTGGGAAGTCTGGTAGCTTGGGCTGGCCCCCGCCAGTGTCCCTCTACTGTATGGGGAGGGAGACGACCACCCCCGCCTTCCTGGAGGTCTTGCGGGCCATGGCGGTTGTGTACCATTGGTTGGAGGAGGAGTAAGTGCTGATTCTGCTCCCGCTGCTGTCTGGCAAAGCCCATGCAGTGGCTCTCAGCCTGCCCGCGTGTGAGCAGCAGCTTTGCAGATGTCCAACAGGGCCTTGTACCACAGGACTATCGCTGGCGGTTCTGGGAGGGTCGGATGGGGCCGAAGGACTAGCCTTTCCCCTACGCTAGTCAACTCAGCGAGGCTGTGGCTGTAACCCAGGTCCGCTCAAGGGGAGGCTCGCATCATGGAGCAGGAGATCCTGGAACTGTTCATTGCGGGCTGCCCATGGAGACCACAGGATGGATCTGCTGCCATCGCCCAGGCAGCTTGAGCGCCTCGATTTATCTCTGCACAACTGGGGGAGGCGGCAGGGCAGCCCCCTATGCCACCTAGTAGCTGGCCTGGCTCAAATAAACCCATCTAAAAACAAAATTGATCAGTTTTTGGACAACATAACTCCTCCAAAATTATTAGACACTCAAGCAATGGCACTGGATTTGCCACTGACACCAGGTGAACTCCAGGAAGCCCTGATAAGTATGCCCAATAATAAGGCTCCAGGTCCAGACGGCTTTCCTGCAGAATTCTACAAAGAATTCTGGACGATTCTAGCACCAGTTTTTTTGCAGAACGTTGTTGGAAATCAAAGAAAAGGGCAGACTTCCATCAAATATGAACTCTGCAAACATTAATCTCCTGCTAAAACCAGGCAAAGACCCTGTATATCCCTCAAGCTATCGTCCAATATCCCTTATACATGTAGACCTTAAATAATCTGCAAAGCTCTCTCAAAGAGACTGGAGAAAATAACCCCCCTCTTACTTCATCCTGACTAAACTGGTTTCATAAAAGGTAGGCACTCATCAACAAATACAGGTAGATTACTTAATTTGATAGACTACTCATACAGTAAAAACATCGAAACTACAATATTTCTTTAGATGCAGAGAAAGCATTTGACAGAGTTAACTGGAAATTTCTATTTGCAACTTTACACAAATTTGGTTTTGGATCCTCTTTCATTAACTGGTTAAAAATATTATAAATTCCCCAACAGCTTGTGTTAGAACAAATGACCAAACATCCTCCAGCTTCTGTCTCTGAGGGGCACCAGGCAGGAATGCCCACTCTCCCCTTCACTGTTTACAATTTTTATTGAACCACTAGCAGCAGCAATTAGACAGAATACAGTAATTAAGGGCATAAAATACAAGAACGTGGAACATAAAGTCAGCCTTTATGCGGACGATGTGTTACGTTTTCTCCAAAATTCACAAACCAATATCTCTGGTGTGATTGAATCTACAGTCCTTCCGATAAATTGCTCCTTCCATAATTCTTCTTCTACACCACTGCAATCTGGAAATATAAAATATTTAGGTATTAATGTTTCTCCCAAGCTTGCAGATCTAACTAAATTAAACCATATCCCACTTTTAAAGAAGGTAGAAGGTGATCTGGCTAGATGGAAATCTCTACCCATATCACTCATGGGAAGGGTTGCCGCTATAAAAATGATGGCCTTACCAAAAATAAATTATTTATTCTCAATGATCCCAACTAAACCACCACAAGATTGGTTCAGATCCCTAGATTCATACATGTCCAAATTCCTTTGGAAAGATAAACCCCCACGTATAAGCTTAAAAACACTACAAAAGACCAAGGATAAAGGAGGATTAGAACTACCTAACTTTCAGCACTACTTCTTAGCCAACAGGCTTCAGTTTATCTCAGGATGGCTAAAACATACCCTCTTAGATGAACCTTGGCTAGATGTAGAACAAGCACTTTGCAATAATCTAGAGATTTCAGACCTACCATTTATCAGCTCAAACATCCAACGAAATGAATGCTTCAAAAGCGTCAACATCAGCGCTTCTCTGACAGCATGGTGGGAGTTTCTAAAATTGACAGCGTCTTCATTAATCCCATGCAAAAAATAATAATAATAAACTAATATAATCATATTGCTGTAAGCGGGTTTCTGTAAGGCAGACTAAATCAATATGTTGATCAGCTACTTAATCATTTACTAACAGGACTCTTCTATGACAGCATGGTGGGAGTTTCTAAAATTGACGGAGTCTTCATTAATCCCATGCAAACGTACACCTATCTGGAACAACCCTGACATATTACAAAACAATAATATGATAAACTTTTCAGATTGGTGTTGTAAAGGAATCAAATACTTGGAACATATATTAGAAGGAACAGAATTTATTCCATTTGACGGACTAGTTACACAATATGGGATCAACAAGAAAAGATTTTTAGAATATCAACAAATTAAATCCATAGTAAAAAAGAAATTTAAACCGGGTCAAGTTGAACTACAAACACCACCAAGTGTGGTTCAATTTCTTACTCTTAAAACCCCAAATTACTATCCAAAATATACAGAATGCTTTCTAAAACAGATGAATCAATATCACTTCCTATTGCAAAATGGGAAGCAGATTTATCAGTTAACTTAGACCAAAACTTCTGGTCTCAGATTTGCTTAAAAACCTTGCATTTAATTAGAAATCCCAGTCTTCAATTAATTCAATACAAAATACTACATAGAGTGCACTATACAGGTCATCGGATGTTCAAGGTGGGCTTTATGTCTATCAACAACTGCTCACACTGCCAAACCAATTCACCGGACAATTATATCCACGCTCTTTGGTTCTGTCCACCAGTTCAGAAGTTTTGGCGCGAGATATGTGAAGACTTATCAAAGTGTCTGAAATGTAACATTCCAACTTCCCCCTTAGTGTGTTTGTTGGGCAGCTTAGATAATGTCACTACAGATAAGAATATGGCCCATATGGTTTTCACTGCCCTATGCATAGCCAAGAAAACAGTCCTCATGAACTGGAAAAATAAAAATGATCTTAATTCTAACCAATATAGAATTTATCTAATAGATTACATTAGTCTTGATACAGCCTCTGCCACCACAATAGATCAATTGCTCTGGGCTCCTTTGATCAGCTCCATCACCTAGTGGGGGTGGGGGGTCATAGTTTGGTCCCACCTTTGCTGTTGTGATTGGTGTGGGGGTAGGGACAGGCTTAGGGCGTCGGGGGGTTCCCAAGGAGCATCTTCCTTGGGGGGCTCAACCCGGGGTTGTGGTCATGGCCTATTAAGGGCTCTGGTGGCTCTTAGGTGACGGTTTCCTCGTGGCTGCGTGCAGTGGGGCTAGGAGAGGGTCTGTGCTGATGTGGGTTACTGCCCCTGGGTGGGTCCGGGACGGGCGTGGGGTTCTGGGGGTGCTCCGTCTCTGGGTTGGGGCCCTGGCTGGGCCTTGGGGGCTTGGGTCCTGGTTGGTGTGTTGCCGGGGTTGTGGGTGGGTGGGTGTATGGGGCCCAGTTCTGGCGCAGGGTGCTGCCGGTGCATCGAGCCACCTGGGGGCTCTTCAACTGGTGGGGGAGGCTGTTACATCTTGCAGGAGGTCTCCTATCTTCAGGAACTCACTCTGCAGGAGGGGGAGATACAGGAGAGGTGGAGGAAGATCTCAGCCTGGCTGTCTATTGTCTTGCGTAGTCTGGAAGATGAGTGGATGGTGGGGTGGGTGCAGTTTTCTCTGTGGTGGGGTCGGGAAGGCTGTCCCGGGCTCTGTGGGGCCAGGCGGCGCTGCTGAACTGGGCCCCGGTCCGGATGGGCCTGGGCCCCCTTTGCCTGGCGGGTTGCAGAGTATGGGGGGTGCCTACTGGGGTCAGCGGGGGAGCTGGCCCCAGGGAGGGGTCACTTGCCCCTCCCTTCCTTCCCTCCCCATCTCCAGCTGCCTCCCTCTTCCCGCTCCACCACAACCACCCACACATGCAGGGCCTTGGGGTAAAGGTGTGTCACCAGGGTGCAGGGGAGGCATCCCCCCCCCTCTGTCCCCTTCTGGCTGCCTCTGCCTCAATTTTATCTCACAACTTAGACATTCACATTACTCATACTCTCATTACACATACATATAGGATCTTGGGGGTGGCCACGCTACACAGAATCCAAATTACCATCAGGGTGTACACCTCACCCCTGGCGCCGTTGCCCACCTCTCAATTTTAAATGCATGTAGACATTGAGGGCTATCAGGAGGGGCTATGCACTAACCAGCTGCTCTCTGGCAGGTAGCTCCATGCCCTCCTGGGTTTTAAATGCACCTTAGGACACACATGCATCAACACTACATACGAGCGGGCGGAGGGAGGTTTGGAGTCTTCACACACCCCCGTTCTCTGCGGCCTGCTGGAGCAGGGGGGCTAGGAGGAGGAGTTTGCCATCCGATTGGGGTCTGGAATGTGGGGCCTCCCTGCTGCTGCCGAGTCAAGGCAGTCTGATTCTCTCCACCCCAGGGAAAAGGGTAACACTACCTGGTTCTGGGTGCAGTTTCCCCCTCCAGGGGCAAGGGTAC